CGGCCTAATTTTTTTTTTAACAGAGGCTTGATCTGTTGCCCAGGCTTGAGTGCAGTGGTGCCATATGGTCTCACCATGACCTCTGCCTTCTGGGTTCAACCGATTCTCCTACCTCAGCCTCCCAAGTAACTGGGACTACAGGCACACGCCACCATGCCTGGCTAATTTTTGTGTTTTTTATAGAGACGGGATTTCACTATGTTGGCCAGGCTGGTCTCAAACTCCTAACCTCGTGAACTGCCCACCTTGGCCTTCCAAAGTGCTGGGATTAAAGGTGTGAGCCACTGTGCCCAGCCTAATAGTATATTTTAATATAGTCAGTCTCTTAATCAGATAGTATAACTCATTCACCTTTATTCTTCTTCCATATTTTCCCAACTATATTTGGTCCTTTGCTTTTTATTTTATTTTATTTATTCATTTATTTTTTGGGACAGAATCTCACTCTGTCGCCCAGGCTGGAATACAGGGGCATGATCGTGGCTCACTGCAACCTCAAACTTCTAGGCTGAATGGATTCTCCTGCTTCACCCTCCCAAGTAGCTGGGACTAGAGGCACATGCCACCATGCCTGGCTAATGTTTGTAGAAATGGGGTCTTGCATGTTGCTTAGGCTCATCTCAAACTCCTGGCCTCAAGCGATCCTCCAGCTTCAGCCTCCCAAAGTGCTGGGATTACAGGTGTGAGCTATCCTGGCCAGCCACACTTTATTTTATAGGCTAGTTTGTGATAAAAGAAAAAATTTTTTTTCTTAAATGCTTAACAAAATTTATTATCTGGGAATGGAAATTTTTTTTGAAAAGTTTTAAATTATAGTCTTACTTTTTTTAGATATAGGGCTATTTCAATTTTCTTTTCCTTTTTTGTGTCAATTTAGTAAGCTTTATTTTCATTGAATTGTCCATTTAATCAAGTTGTCAAATTGTGTGCAATTTGTTAACTTTACTCCCTTTATATATATATATGTATATATATATATTTTTTTTTTGAGACGGAGTTTCGCCCTTGTTACCCAGGCTGGAGTGCAATGGCGCCATCTCGGCTCACCGCATCCTCCGCCTCCTGGGTTCAGGCAATTCTCCTGTCTCAGCCTCCTGAGTAGCTGGGATTACAGGCACGTGCCACCATGCCCAGCTAATTTTTTGTATCTTTAGTAGAGACGGGGTTTCACCATGTTGACCAGGATGGTCTCGATCTCTCGACCTTGTGATCCACCCGCCTCGGCCTCCCAAAGTGCTGGGATTACAGGCTTGAGCCACAGTGAAGTCTTATTCAGTCACCCAGGCTGGAGTGCAATGGCATGATCTCAGCTCACTGCAACCTCCACCTCCTGGGTCTACGCAACTCTTGTACCTCAGCCTCCCAAGTAGCTGGGACCACAGGTGCACTCCACCAGGCCTGGCTAAATTTTGTATTTTTAGTAGAGACAAGGTTTTACCATGTTGGCCAGGCTAGTCTTGAACTCCTGACCTCAAGTGATCCACCCGCCTTGACCTCCCAAAGTGCTGGGATTACAGGGATAAGCCACTATGCCAGGCCCCTTAATATGCTTTTAATGTCAGTAATAATTGTAGGTATCTCTCCTCTTATTTCTTATATTTATAATTTAAGTTTTTGCTCCTTTTTTGATCAGTTTCACAAGGAGGTTATTTTATTTATGTTTTTAAAAATTCAGCTTTTGGCTTTGTTGATTTTCCTTATTTATCCGTTCTCTATTTTATTAACTTCTGCTCTTAAATATTTTTCTCCTCTACTTTTCAAGTTTAATTTTTTGTTATTTTTATTTAGTAACTTAAATTATGCTTTTAAACATATTTTCTAATATATGAATGTAAACCTATAAATTTTCGTCTATGCACTGTTTTAGCTGCATCCCATGAGTTTTGATATGTATTTGTATTATTATTTAGTTTAAAATATTTTCTTTTTTTTTTTTTTTGAGACGGAGTTTCGCTCTTGTTACCCAGGCTGGAGTGCAATGGCGCGATCTCGGCTCACCGCAACCTCCGCCTCCTGGGTTCAGGCAATTCTCCTGCCTCAGCCTCCTGAGTAGCTGGGATTACAGGCACGCACCACCATGCCCAGCTAATTTTTTGTATTTTTAGTAGAGACGGGGTTTCACCATGTTGACCAGGATGGTCTCGATCTCTTGACCTCGTGATCCACCCGCCTCGGCCTCCCAAAGTGCTGGGATTACAGGCTTGAGCCACCGCGCCCGGCCTTAAAATATTTTCTAATATCTCTTGTGGTTTCTTTTTGACACACGGTTATTTATTTATTTTAATTATTTTATTTATTTATTTATTTGAGACAGAGTCTGCCTCTGTTGCCCAGGCTGGAGTGCCGCAGTCCAATCTCAGCTCACTGTAACTTCCACCTCCCGGGTTCAAGCAATTCTCTCTGCCTCTGCCTCCTGAGTAGCTGGGAATACAGGTGCCCACCACCACGCCTGGCTAATTTTTGTATTTTTTAGAAGATACGGGGTTTCACCATGTTGGCCACGTTGGTCTTGAACTACTGACCTCAGATGATCTGCCCGCCTCGGCCTCCCAAAGTGCTGGCATTACAGGCATGAGCTACCATGCAGGGTCAACACATGGTTATTTATAAGTGTGTTGGTTAATTCCCAAGTATTTGGAGAAGCTTTATCTATATTACTTGTTTTTTATTTCTCATTTAATTTCATGGTCTAGAAAATATTCTGTTAAGTGGTTAAGTCCTTTTGAGTTTATGAAATTGTTTTAACTGGCATCATCTAGTCTATCTTGATGTGTGTCCCATAGTCGTTTGAAAAGAATGTGTATATTGTGGCTGGGTATGGTGACTCACACCTATAATCCCAGCACTTTGGGAGGCTGAGGTGAGTGGATCATCTGAGTCCAGGTGTTCAAGACCAACCTGAGCAACATGACAAAACTCCATCTCTATGAAAAATTTAAAAAATTTGCTGGGTGCAGTGGCTCACATCTGTAATCCCAGCACTTTGGGAAGCCGAAATGGGTGGATCATCTGAGGTCAGGAGTTTGAGGCCAGCCTGATCAACATGGAGAAACCCTGTCTCTACTGAAAATACGAAATTAGCCAGGTGTGGTGGCACGTGACTGTAATACCAAGTACTCAGGAGGCTGAGGCAGGAGAATCACTTGAATGTGGGAGGCAGAGGTTGCGGTGAGCTGAGATCATGCCATTGCACTCCAGCCTGGGCAGCAAGAGTGAAACTCCATCTCAGATAGATAGATAGATAGATAGATAGATAGATAGATAGATAGATAAATTATCCAGTCATGGTGGCATGTTCCTGTAGTCCCAGCTACTCAGTAGGCCAAGATGGGAGGATCACCTGGGCCTGGGGAGGTCAAGGCTGTGATGAATGGTCACGACACCACTGCATTCCAGCCTAGGCAACAGAATGAGACCCTGTCTCAAAAAAAAAATGAGTATTCTACAATTGTTAAGTATATTACTCTGCATAGTAATTAGGTCAAGTTGATTAATACTATTGTATAATTCTTCTGATTCTTACTTTTTTGGTCTGTTAATTCTATTAATTACTAGGAGAGAATTGTTCAAATCCCTTCCAAATATATTTGCAGATTTCTCTATTTCTTCTTTTACTTACGTCAATTTTTGCTTAATGTATTTCCAATCTCTATACATGTAGGATTCTAATGTCCTCAGGATTAACTGACTCTTTAAAAAAAAAAAAATTTTAGGGCCGGGCACAGTGGCTCACACCTGTAATCCCAGCACTTTGGGAGGCCGAGGCAGGTGGATCATGAGGTCAAGAGTTCGAGACCAGCCTGACCAACATGGTGAAACCCCATCTCTACTAAAAATACAAAAATTAGCCAGGCATGGTGGTATGTGCCTGTAATCCCAGCTACTCAGGAGGCTGAGGCAGGAGAATTGCTTGAACCCTGGAGGCAGAGGTTGCAGTGAGCCGATATTGTGCCACTGCACTCCAGCCTAGGTGACAGAGCGAGACTCCGACTCAAAAAAAAATTTTTTTTTTGTTTGCTTTAAATTCTGGGATACATGTGCAGAGCATACAGTTTTGTTACATAGTTATATATGCGCCATGGTGGTTTGCTGCACCTATCAATCCATCATCTAGGTTTTTTGTTTTTTTTTGGGATGGAGTCTTGTGCAATGGGGCTATCTCGGCTCATTGCAACCTCTACCTCCTGGGTTCAAGCGATTCTCCTGCCTCAGCCTCCCAAGCAGCTGGTACTACAGGCATGCACCACCATGCCTGGCTAATTTGTGTATTTTTAGTAGAGGCGGGGTGGGTTTCACCATGTTGGCCAGGATGGTGTCAAACTCCTGACCGTGATCTGCCCACCTTGGCCTCCCAAAGTGCTGGGATTACAGGAGTGAGCCATCGCTCCTGGCCTTCATCATCTAGGTTTTAAACCCCACATGGATTAGGTATTTGTCCTAATGCTGTCTCTTCCCTTGCCTCCCACCCTACGACAGGCCCCAGTGTGTGATGTTCCCCTCCCTGTGTCCATATGTTCTCATCGTTCGACTCTCACTTAGGAGAAAGAACATGCAGTGTTTGGTTTTCCGTTCCTGTGTTAGTTTGCTGAGAATGATGTCTTCCACCTTCATCATGTCCCTGCAGAGGACATGAACTCATTCTTTTTCATGGGTGCATAGTATTCTATGGTGGATATGTGCCAGATTTTCTTTATCAAGTCTGTCATTGATGGGCATTTGGGTTGGTTCCAAGTCTTTGCTATTGTAAATAGTGCTGCAATAAACATATGTGTACATATGTCTTTATAATAGAATGATTTATAATCGTTTGGGTATATACCCAGTAATGGGATTGCTGGGTCAAATGGTATTTCTGGTTCTAGATCCTTGAGGAATCACCACACTGTCTTCCACAATGGTTGAACTAATTTACACTACCACCAACAGCATAAAAGCATTCCTATTTCTCCACAGCCTCACCAGCATCTGTTATTTCCCGACTTTTTAATAATCGCCTTTCTAGCTTTGCGCAGTGGCAGTATCATAGCCAATGAGGTTTATCCGAGACGCGATTATTGCTAATTGAAAACTCTTCCCAATACCCCTTGGCAACGACTTGGAATATAGTTGGCACTGTCATTTTTCTCTACGGAGACTGAATATTCCAGTATTAACAAACAGGTTCTTTCCAATTTATGAGATAGAAAGCGTAGCAACCAACATACTGCCAAAAGCGCTTTGTGTTTGTAAGTCGAAGTTGGTGTTGCGGTGGTCTCTACCTAAGCTCTCCCGCCTGCTGCTTCCGCAGCGTGGAGCACAGCTGGTCGTCCCTCTGCGCCCTGCGGTTCGCTTTCCCACGGCTCACTCTCCTCGCTCCAAATTCGAGTCTCAACCCGGTCAACCTGTGACGTCAGTTTGATTTGCATAAGATTCCTTAGCGTCCCAAACGAATCTTTTTACCGTTTCCAAAATCTGAATCTTTGACCCGAGATGTTCAACAACAAGAAACCCTACATGCATTTAAAGCCCACGTGTAGATGGGCTTTAAATACAGCGGGCGGCGTGGGGATACGTCGTATCCACAGACGTTTTGGCAGGCACTCACCCTCAATGAAATGGTAGTTATGATCCGTGGGGGAGTAGGGCAAGAAATACAGCTTTAGCTTTGCGCAGTGGCAGTATCGTAGCCAATGAGGTTTAGCCGAGGCGCGATTATTGCTAATTGAAAACTTTTCCCAATACCCCGCCATGACGACTTGAAATACAGTCGGCGTCGGCAATTTTTGGCAGTCTCTGCGGAGACTGAGTCCTAAGTTTTAAAAAAAGTGACTGGGCACGGTGGTTCCAAGCCGGGTGGATCACGAGGTCCAAAGTTAGAAACCATCCTGGTCAACATGGTGAAACCCCATCTCTACTAAAAACACGAAAAAATTAGCTGGGCATGGTGGCGCGTGCCTGTAATCCCAGCTACCCAGGAAGCTGAGGCAGGAGCATTGCCTGAACCCAGGAGGCGGAGGTTGCGGTGAGCCGAGATCGCGCCATTGTACAGCCTGGGTAACAAGAGCGAAACTCCATCTCAAAAAAAAAAAAAAAAAAAGTAATAGCAAATAATGTGGTTTGTATGTATGTCGGCTGTTACGTTTATTGAACTGCCGCGTTTTGTCTTTTCTTTCAGAAATTAGTAATTTTTTTAAAGTCGTCGTTTTCACTGGCTGAGGTATCTTTTCTTTCATTCAGAAATTAGTAATTTTATTTATTTATTTATTTACTTATTTATTTTTTGAGGCGGAGTTTCGCTTGTTACCCAGGGTGGAGTGCAATGGCGTGATCTCAGCTCACCACAACCTCCACCTCCTGGGTTCAAGCAATTATCTTGCCTCAGCCTCCGGAGTAGCTGGGACTACAGGCGCGCCACCACCATGCCCAGGTAATTTGTATTTTTAGTAGAGACAGGGTTTCACCATGTTGACCAGGATGGTCTCGATCTCTTGACCTCATGATCCACCCACCTCTGCCTCCCAAAGTGCTGGTATTATAGGCGTGAGCCACCGCACCTGGCTTTTTATTTTTAGACAGGGTCTTGCTCTGTCACCCAATGTAGTGGCATGATATGATCACGGCTCACTGCAACCTCCAACCTCCACCTGCTGGGCTCAAATGATCCTCCCACCTTTACCACCAGTAGCTGGGACTACACATGCATGCCACCACTCCCAGCTAATTTGTGCATTTTGTGTACAGACAGCATTCTGCCATGCTGCCCAGGCTGGTCTCAAACCCCTGGGCTTAAGGGATCCTCCCAACTTGGCCTCCCAGAGTGCTGGTTTTACAGGTGCAAACTACCACGCCTGGGCAAATTGCTCACCTTGATCCTGTGGAAGAGTCATTTTAGGCTTTTTAACATAGGAGGAAAGGCAAAACTAAAATAGACCTAGGGTGAAATCCTCAGCTTTGACCTATAGTCCTTAATGCTAAGTCATGAACCTTTAGGGGGATCCAGTGGAAAGCATGAATATTTAAGAGATCCCTTGGTGGGATTCAAATGCCAAATTCTATAGAAATCTCCACGTGGCTTTTTCATTTCCTGTTAATGCTTTCTCTTGGGTTTCTTGGAATCTTATACCATGAGGAGGCATGCAAGGATTTGAAAGAAATTTTTATTCAAATTCTCAGGCTAACCCCGATTTGACTGTCTCTGTTCCTGGACTTTGCCTGTCAACTTAGAAACACGTTGGAGGCCCCAAACTCTGACCTCTATGTCATCAGCCCATTAAAGCTACTGCTTTCTTCCGAGATCTATTTCTCTGTGCAAGTTTAGAATTGTTATTGGCAAGAGAGTTTGTCTGATACAAACCACGTTGTGATTATTGGAACAGGTGTTTGTTTGTTTGTTTGACACAGGGTCTTGCTCGTTCCCCAGGCTGGAGTGCAGTGGCACAATCATGGTTCACTGCAGCCTCGATTGCTGGGTTCAAGCCATCCTCCCACCTCAGTCTCCTGAGTAGCTGGGATGACAGGCATAACAGCATCATGCCCGGCTAATTTTTGTATTTTTAGTAGAGACGGGGTTTCACCATGTTGCCCAGGCTAGTCTCAAAGTCTTGAGCTCAGGCAGTCCATCCACTTCGGTCTCCCAAAGTGTTGGGATTACAGGTGTGAGCCACTGTCTCAGGGCTGGAACAGGTATTAAAAATATTTTCTCAGGCCAGGTGCTGTGGCTCATGCCGGTAGCCCCAGCACTTTGGGAAGCCAAACCGGACAGATCTCTTGAACTCAGGAGTTTGACACCAGTCTGGCCAACATAGTGAAACCTTGTCTCTAGAAAAAATAACAAAAGGCTGAGGTGGGAGGATCATGAGGTCAGGAGTTCGAGACCAGCCTGACCAACATAGTGAAAGCCCATCTCTACTACATTTCCCAGAAGAGTGTGCTACATGCTAGGCATGGTGGAATGCCCCTGTGATTCCAGCTACTCTGGAGGCTGAGGTGGGAGGACTGCTTGAGCCAGGAAGGCCAAGATTGCAGTGAGCCAAGATCGCACCACTGCACTCCAGCCTGGGCCACAGAGCAAGACACTGACACTGTCTTGCTCTGTAAGTAAGTAAATAAATAAATAAAAATAAAATAATTTTTCAGTTGTAACACCAAGTATTTAATGTAGTAAGACATTATTGTGTTTTGGTCTTTAATATCTTCTACTTTAGGCTGGGCATGGTGGCTCACACCTGTAATCCCAGCACTTTGGGAGGCCAAGGCAGGCAGATCACCTGAGCTCAGGAGTTCGAGACCAGCGTGGCCAACATGGTGAAACCCTGTCTCTACCAAAAATACAAAACAAACAAAAAAATTATCTAGGCATGGTGGTGTGCACCTGTAGTCCCAGCTACTCAGGAGGCTGAGGCAGGAGAATCACTTGAACCCAGGAGGCAGTGGTTGCAGTGAGCCAAGATTGCACCACTGCACTTCAGCATGGGTGACAGAGCAAGACTCCATCTAAAAAACAAACAAACAAAAACCATACAAAAATAAAATCTTCCAGCCGGGCACGGTGGCTGATGCCTGTAATACCAGCACTTTGGGAGGCCGAGGTGGGGAGATCATGAGGTCAGGAGTTCGAGACCAGCCTGACCAACATGGTGAAACCCCTTCTCTACTAAAATACAAAAATTAGCTGGACGTGGTGGCACGTGCCTGTAATCCCAGCTACTCAAGAGGCTGAGGCAGGAGAATCGCTTGAACCTGGGAGGCAGAGGTTGCAGTGAGCTGAGATTGTGCCACTGCACTCCATCCTGGGCGACAGAGTGAGACTGTGTCTCAAAACAAAATAAAATAAAATCTTCCACTTTAAAAATGGTATATAGGGCTGGGCGCGGTGGCACAAGCCTGTAATCCCAGCACTTTGGGAGGCCGAGGCGGGTGGATCACGAGGTCAAGAGATCGAGACCATCCTGGTCAACATGGTGAAAACCCGTCTCTACTAAAAATACAAAAAAATTAGCTGGGCATGGTGGTGTGAGCCTGTAATCCCAGCTACTCAGGAGGCTGAGGCAGAAAAATTGCCTGAACCCAGGAGGCGGAGGTTGCGGTGAGCCGAGATCGCGCCATTGCACTCCAGCCTGGGTAACAAGAGCGAAACTCTGTCTCAAATAATAATAATAATAATAATAATAATAATAATTGTTAGCAAACCTCCCTGGGTTGCTGTGAGCATTCTGCCGGAACATGCACGTCAGGTTCTCGAAGCAGGTCTGGCGTGTGGTTGGTACTCAGCACATATTTGCTGTTCCTGTCGCTGGCGTCATCACTGTGTTCATGGTAGAGCCCTGTGCCACGACTGGGCCGCCACCCAGACCTTCCTTTCCCGCCCTGAGGGTGAACTGTGGACAGGGCTCTCCCAACTCTGGAGACCCCGCCTGTGAGCCTCAGATGTGTGGCTGCAGAAGGAGGAGAGGGAGCAGGGCCTCTGGAAAACCCCTCGAAGCCAGGCCCACCACCCCCAGAGCCAGGGCTTGAATCTTGTCTGCACACAGATGTGGGAGACGCGGACGAACTCCATTTGGAGACATGGACGAACTGACAGGATAATTCCTAGTCCCTGGGCACCGCCCTCCTAATATCTTGGCAATTAGACACCTATGCAGCGGCCCTACACTGGTCCGCACATGAAGATACACAGCGACGTTTGCCCGCAAGAGCATAGCGGGATCCCGGCTGCGGGCCCGGGAACTATATTTCCCGGAAGGCTGTGCTACATACTCGTCGGCGTCCAGACGCAAGCACGTCCCCGGCCACCCTCTGGGAAACGGAGTCCAACGCTTGCGCGGCGCAAAGTCTCCCGGGAGGTGTAGTTCGCGCCCGTTCCGCGCAGGCGCACTTTTTCGCGGCGGCCGCCGGCTGCTCTTTGTGGTAGTCGCCGCCCTTTTGTGGAAGTCCCGTCCGCTCAGTCGCCCGTACCTCAGACCGTCGGCGGTCTCTGTCCGCCTCGGGACCTCTCCGCTGGCCGCTGCGCGTCCGATGGCTCCGGGCTGCGGAACTTTAGGCCTGGCCCTGGCCTCCGGGCGCGGGTTCGCCCGGAGGAGCGTGTGGCGGGGGTGTGCCGGGGCGTGCGTGGTCCGGGCACGGGGCTGAGCCCGGTGTGGGGCGTGGGTGTCTGCG